AAAAAAAAACAAGAATGAAGTGGTGCACTGACCGAAACGCCCCCATTGCTCAAAGGGAGCGACAGAGACCCGCACGTGTGCGCGTGTGCGGGACGCAGCAAAGATATATATATATCTATATGTCCGCTCTTCTCTCAGGTTTTACATTCCTCCCACTCCATCGTGCCAGACTGGTATTTAAGTGGGCCCCACTTCAGATCTCAGTTAATGGTGCCTTACTTCCTTTTTTTCTTTTCTCCCCCTCGCTTATTCACTCTTGTCTTCTTGCTGCATGATACGCCGTCCTACTTTGCGTTTCTGCTGCTGCTGCTCAAGGCATGGCCCGCACCCCTACGCACTCCTCCGCGTGGCGGCAAGAGTGGCTCACGTGCGCGCCATACGAAGCGCCGCTGCTCCCTGAAGCAGCATTGCCGCCGACGCCGTCACGAGTAGCACGTCCCGCACGTCCTGCAGCAGCTGCTGCTGCTGCCACATCGCTGTATTTTGCGGGTGGGCTCCGTTGCTGCTGGCACTGCCGGTGCGCAAGCGGGCACTCAGAAGCAGCGCACTGACGCCCAGCGCGAGGGCCGCACAGACCGACAACACAAACGTCAGCATCAGCAGCGGCACCAGCCCGCTAAAGCCCCACCGCACCCCGGCGAGAGAACGCATCAGCCCTGCCAGCGGCACCGCCAGCGAGACGCCATAAAGCGCAGTCGCCCAGAGTGGCAGCGGCGCATTGGTTCCTAGAAACGCCGTCACAACGCCAACAACAGCTGCAGCTGCTGGGCCGGACTCATAGAAGCGCACGACAGGGCCGAACAGCGGAACGAGGCACAGCGGCAGTGATGCGAGAGCGAACAGCAACATCAGGCCCACCGTGTGTACCGCGCCGCCCATCGAGTCTCCGTCGTTGTCATCGCCGTTGCTGTTGCTGTTGCTGTTGTTGCTGCTGCTGCTGCTGTGGGGCGACAGGAGCGGCTTGCACCACGCGACGGTGAGGCACGCCACCGCAAAGATGCAGCCACACGCCAAGCAGCGGAGCAGAAAGCACGAGTCCACACGCGAGACTGCCTCGCGAAGACCACGGGCGCTGACAAAGCGGCGGAACGTGCGCGCCGCCCCGACACACGACGCTGACGGCAGCAGTGCACAGATGCCGAACGCAAACAGCGGCACCGTACACGTCGCGTACAGAAACACCCGCACCGCCTCAGCTGTGCCCCCGTTGCTGATGCCACTGCTGCTGCTTCTATGTGCAATAGCGGGAAACATAAAGAACCCCAAGGTGACAGAGGCCAGCCCGGCGTGGAATGCGACAAACAGCAGAACAGGGACGCCCGCGATAAAGCCCAACTCCACGCAGGCGAAGAACAGCAGCGGCACCATCAACCCTGCGAGCCCCACACCATGCAGCAACTGCGCCGCCACCAGCAGCACAAATTCGCCGTGGGCAAAGCCATGCATCGTGCACACCCCGCTCCACACCATACATACAGCCGCACCGACTAGCAAAATGTGTGGCATGGCTGGCGTGGAGGCACCACACAAGAGCACAAGGGGCGCGAACACGCTGAACGCCGCAGCGTCTGCGAAGACGAGAGCAAGCTTGACGGTTTGCTGCCGGGCAGCAACCCGCTCAACGCCGGCGACGACGTCAATGGTGGCGAAGAGGCTGTTGTGCAGCAGCGAGAGACCGATGATGACTGCGGCAAATGTGAAGAGCACCGCGTGACGCGTCACGCCGCGTATCCACGGCTGGGGCACGACATCAGCGGCTGCAAGCCCACCCATCTCAACATCCTCAGCGGCGGGAGAACGAGCAGCAACCGAACTGTCGCTCCCAGTATCCACCTCTTTAAAGACAGGACGTTCGTCATCGTAGAGTTGAAAGGTCAGGCACTTCCGCTTCCTACCAAAATTCTGCCCGTCGCCATGGAAGGGATACAGGAGCGTCTCCTGCGCGTTGCAGCCCCCTATAAGTGTGGCATCGTCACGAGTGTTCTCCACACTCCCATACGAAGGCACTGATCTGGCGGAACGACGAGGTGTATGTCTTGGCCGTTGCCGTCTCTGTTGTTGTTGTTGGTGGTGGTGGTGGTGCTCTTGTTGTTTCTCTTCCTGCTGCTGTGGATGTGACTGCTGCTGCTTCTGTGGCGATGGCTGTGGCTGTGGCTGTGGATGTGGCTGCTGCTGCTGCTGCTGTGGCGATGGCTGCTGCTGTGGCTGTGATTGTGGCTGCTGCGGCTGTGGCTGCGGCTGCGATGGCGGCGGTGGCGATGGCTGCTGCTGTGGCTGTGATTGTGGCTGCTGCTGCTCCTGCGGTGATGGCTGCTGCTGTGGCGATGGCGGTGCCCTTTGTGGGGTCGTCAGGAAGCTTTGCGGCCATGGCCCTTGCACAGCGCCGGCGGTCCCCTGCGCCTCTTCCAGCTGCTGCTGCGCCCCCTCTCTGCGTGCAGCCCTTGCTGACGACGCCGGCGTTGTCGTCAAGGATTGCACCACCACTCCATCCTCGTCCACCGGCGCCCTTTCGAGCGACGGCTCCATCGAGGTGTAGCTGTCCCGCACGCTGCGCCTGCGCTTCGTGCTGCTGCCCGACACCTGCGACTCCCGCCCGCTGCGCCACGG